AGAAGAATTAACACCAATCCTTCTCAAACTCTTCAAAAATAGTGAAGAGGGAACACTTCTTAACTCATTTTAAGAGGTCAGCATTACCCTGATTCCAAAGCCAAAACACTACAAGAAAACTACAGACCTGTATCCCTCATGAACACTGATGCAAAATCCTCAATAAAATACTAGCAAACTGCCCTGGCCAGTTTGGCTCAGTGGATTGAGCGTAGGCTTGCGGACTGAAGGGTCCTGGGTTCGATTCTAGTCAAGGGCACATGCCTAGGTTTTGGGCTCAATCCCCAGTGGGGGGCGTGCAGGAGGCAGCCAATCAATGATTCTCTCTCACCAATGCTTCTCTCTCTCTCCCTCAGCAGATTGAAAGGTTTATACACCATGACCAAGGAGAATTTATTCCTTAAATGCAAGGCTGGCTCAACGTACAAGAATCCGTTCATGTGATACAATAGAAAGGAAAAGGAACACCCACATCTTCACTCAATTGATGAAAAAAAGCTTTTGACAAAATCCAACTCCCTTTCATAATAAAAACATTTAACAATCTAGAAACAGAAGGAAACTTCCTCAACATAAAGCCATATTTGAAAAACCCATATCTGAACATCACACAATTGGGAAAGACTGAAAGCATTTTCCTAAAATCAGAATCAAAACAAAAGGATGCCTACTTTCACCACTTCTACTCATCATGTTACTGAAAGTTCTAGCCAGAGCAATTAGGCAAGAAAAAGAAATAAAAGACATCGGAACAGAAGTATAATTATCTCTGTTCACAGATATGGTTTTACTAGAGGCCCAGTGCACGAAATTTGTGCAAGTGGGGTCCCTAGGCCTGGCCAGCGATCAGGTTCCCCGCCACCCTGCCTCCTCCTTCCCTCGCCGCCCGCGTCTGCCACCACCCACCCCCAGTTCCCCATCCAAGCCCGGGGCCTGGCCCCGATTGGGCGATCGGGACCTGCCGGCCAGAGGGAGGGACCGGGAGGTTGCCCAGCAAGCCCTGATCAGGCGACTGGGGCCTGCCAGCTGGGGAGAGGGACCCAGGAGGTTGACCGCTGGCCCCAAGGAGGGAGCTGGCCCTCAGCCCCCCTGGAAAAGGGGCCACGTCCACCACCACCCCCCTCCGGTTCCCTGTCCCAGCCC